ACCTTGCTCTTGGGGTGACTCGAACTCACAACCTCTTGGTTGGAAGTGAAGGGTGCTCACCACCAGAGTAACCCACTTTTGTTAAAAAAAAATACTTCTTAAATGAATTGGCCAAACACAAATAGTTTTTTTTCAAAAGTACTTCTAAAAAAATACTGCTAAAAAATAGTACTTTTCAAAAAAAAAAAAAAAGAAGCAGATTTTGAGCCAAACGGGCTCTAAAGCATCTTATGTTTGATTTTGTTTGATCTAAAGTACAGTTGGCAATAAATTTGCTTCCTTTCTATCTGCAATTAATGAGATTGTACTTAAAGTAGGAATTTCTTTGTTAGGCCAAATTCGTTAGGCCTCTTAAACTTGTTTATAACAAACAAAATGTTTACATTTTATTTTTATTTTTTAAAAAAAATAAGCCAAAATATACGGCCAGGCCAAACGGGAGCTTATTATTTATGGAACACCAACATTACTCAACATCTATTTCAATCAAATACTTTTTTCTTAATGTTGATGCAAAGGGTCAGAGCGTGATGCCAAATGCCTATTACAAAGTGATATGAGCTAATTAATATATGACACGTGTATTTTATTTTTAAAGAGAAAATCATTTTTTAAGATCATCTTCTTCTTTTTTCAAGTTAAATATGTAGATAGCCTCTTAAAGTTGGCATAGTTTATAAGTTAGACCTTGAACTTAACTAGGGACCATATAGACATCTATTCTTGGTAGAAGTATGTCTCGTAAACCCATCATGCCGACATTGCGGAGTGAGTGTTTTTCGCTGAAATTGAGAGCGTAAAATAACTTAAAATTATGTTTTTTCTTTTCTTTTTTTTCCAGAAAATTAACATTCACTCAATAGACCCTACCTTTCACATCCTCCTCCTCTTCAACTTTCCACCACCCTAAGAAATCACCATTGTTTGGCTGTTGAAAACTAATTGCCTTTACATTTAATTTATTCCAGCACTAGATTCAAATATTCACCGTTAGAATTCTCTTATGTTTGAGCAGCGGTATAGGGGCACCGATTTATGACAAGATTTAAAGATCTTCATTTGACACTTGTTTGCCAAGGGTTTTAGTAATACGAACACAGTATCTGCTTAAAAACTTGAATAATTAGGATTGTCACTTTATGGAGCTCTCGAGCAAGAGCTTTAGTTGTTTCATGTATGTGTAATTGGACAAATCTCTTTTTTTCCGAATAACATACTTAAAAAAGCAGTAAATGTGTAAGTGTAATTTTCGGTTTGTGTCGTTTTCAAGTGTATTCAGGTGAATAACCCTCTTTTAAAGTTAATTAATTAAAGAGTTTTTTCCTTTTTATTTTGTTACATTTGGCACCTCAGTAGCAAGTGTATCTCACTCACTGGTTATTTGATACACTTCTACCAAGTCTGGTCACTAGCTAAGTTGCCAATTTTAAGGGACTATCTAGGTATTTGGCCTTTCTTTTAAAGAATTCTCCCGTAGCCCACCGCGGGTCTTTTTCCTGCTTCCGCCTTCTTTCCCTTCCCTGCCACCCTGCCCTTTCTTTTTCCCAACTCCACCAAGAGTGAAAGTGTAAGACACATAAATTTAAACGACGGGAGTATTATGTAATGTTTTTAATTAAGAGGCAAACTTCGTATATGGATACTAACTGAGAAATATTTTAGGCCGTCTGAGTAATCATTAGAAAAACTCTTTAAAACATAAATGTAAATATTATCGATGTAATCTTACCTGTCGTAATAAGTCACTTGTCACAATTTGCAGGTTATTTTAATTAAAAAGTTACACTCTTCGTTTAATTTATGTGATACTGTTGTAACAAGAATGATATATTTTTATATTTAAAAATAATTTAATTTTAAATTTTTTTGTTTACCCATTTTACCCTGAATAAGAAACTTTTTAAGCAACATAAACTGAAAGCCCCACAAAAACATTTATATTTTAAGCTTTTACACTACAAAGTTTGAAAGTCTTTTTTTTCTTAATCTTTATATTGAATCAAACTACATCACAGAATTAAAACAGATGGAGTTCATGCTTGTGTTAAATGAAAAATCTTTATATTTTAATCGTATAAAAGTTATACTCTTGTACTGCTAGCACACCGCCTACTTGTGATGAGATACAATATCTAATATAATTCCGTATTTTACCACAAGAAAGAAAATATGACTCACAAACAAAATTAAATTTTACCTTACCCGCTTAACATTTTAGGGTAGGAAAACAATACTTTTATCACCTTTTGAATGGGAAAGAAAACTCCCTTGACCCAAAAGTTAACAAATGATTGAAAAAATCCTTAAAAAGTCATTACTATTAATCCTTGTTTGTAGGGTAAATTCTAATGATAAAAGTTTATGCACATGGAATGTACTTTAATTTTATTTTTAATTTGCAAGGTTTAACGAGGAAGACTAAGTTGATTTCAAACTTGTTCAGTAATACAACCTAGAGGATCTCAATTGCACAAACAATCAACATCTTTTGAAGAAGTTATAATGTTCTATATTCAAGTTTCAGTAGTTGGACAGATGTTCATAACGATGCAACGAACTCATTGGGTAGTGTCCTCAAATTCGCGTATATTGGATTTTAGAGTGATTAATAGTCATCTTTTGATGGATGCTACTTTTTGGAACAAATTCTTATGACTAGACTAATCATATTTTTTTATCCTTAAAGTTTTCCCTCTAGACAAGGGACAATAATTGTTTTGTAAATTTCGGTTATGACTTTGGGTTCACGTTTGAGTCAAAAGAGGTTATGCCTTTCCTATTCAATACGTGATAGAGATATTATTTTCTTAATTTACCTAAAAGGTTAACCTCTTTTGACCCAAACGTCAATCCCACATGGTAGGGGTAAGGTCTGCGTACACACTATTTTTCCCAGATTTTACTTTGCGATCATACTGGCCGGTTGTTGTTATAATTTACCAAAAAAGTTAAGGGGGTAAGATGAGTTTACTCCACGAACAATCCATGAAATTGTACTTGAATAAGTTCATGTTTAATGCTCTTTCTTTTTAAGTTTATTTTGTACTGCTTTTTTAAAAGTTTTTTTCCTTAAGAAAAAGTAAAACGTGTCTGTCTCAAGGAGCACTTTGTTTTCCAAAACTAAATTCAAGAATTAGATTTTAATAACATCATCTATTATTGAGATCTTGCACACAGTGGGAACCCAACACTTTCACCAAGAGGGATTACAGAAGGTACTAAAATGGTCCTATAATGAGCCTTGAACAGAGATCTCAAAAATCTCTTGACCTTCCTATCTTATGTTAAGTTAATTAATATTCTCCACATCTCAATTTATGAAATAATATTTGACTGATCATGAATAAGTTTTTTTTTGACATACTAAAAGTATATTATACTTTATGATCTTAAGTATGTCATGACTTTTATATGGCTCGAAGAGTATTTCTTTAGAGATAAAACGGAAAGTTAGATTTAAATTATTTTCAAATATAGATGGTGTAAATTTTTTTAAGACAAGATTCGTAAAGAGTATGATATAAAACGAAACAGAAGGAGTAATATATAGATGTACATACTTTTATTTTCTTCAAATGCAATATATCTCTATAGATAGAGAAATTTCCAGACAGTTGCTCTTTCATACAAATAAAACATAGATTAGCTTTACTCTTAATATTTAATTATTTTTCGTTTTATAATTTTTATAGGTGTACTGTTTGAATGGATTATAAAGAAAGAAAGATATTTGGAACACATCAAAATTATCGTTGAAACTTGTGATTTTGAATATGGATGCCATGACATTTATATAATTATAAAAGTATGTTATTAGAGTAAAATAAATAGTTTAAAGTTAGAGAATTCTCAATATAGAATGTCCTATAAAATGAATGTGATCGAATTGTATATTTCTAAACAAACTGGAAATCAAGAAACTGTAAAACCAAAAACGTATACTCTAACGAAATAAACCTTCTTTTTTTTTTTGGTTGATAGGAAAAAGGAGTTCATACCTGATTAACGTCACGATCGGACGAAACACTAGAGGCCATGTCTTAGTTATCTTGTTCTCTGAAAGCAGCTCAAAGGAAAGAAACAAAAGAAAAATCAAATCAAAGAAGAAAATAGCCATCACTAACAACCCAAAAAGAAAAAAAGACAACTAAAAGAACCATTTGAGGGTTTTTATCTTTATTTTTATGGGACGGAGGGAAAGAGAAAGAAAATAGAGTAGTCTAAGAACCTGAAATGGCAGAGCTGAGGAGCAGAGAAAGAATGGCAGATGTAGTGCATGGGATATGTTGATATTTATTGGAGAAACCAGCCAGTCACTTATAATGCATTTATTGTGATATGGAAAGTAGGTCTGGAGACAACAAAAGTGTAGATTTATGGCGCCTCCATTTGATTCCACGAAAGTCGTTGAGAAATAAATTTAACTGATATTCAATGTACGTGTATATATATGAGTATATATATATATATATA